AAACGATGTTAAGTTTAAAATGTAGCCTGAAACTTTGATTTTTAATGCTGTGTTGACTACTTTGTCGGCATATTTTGTATCGTCTTAATTAGAAAGGTGACTATAATTGACAATGTGTTTGAAAAATATATTTTCTTATAAAAGAAAAATGTATTTTCGTATTTGCAAATATAAACTGGTTGATTCCATTTTTAAATTTTGATTCTTCCATTGAATGTTTCCTCATTGTTACGGGTAGGAAAAATTGCATCATAGATCATATGGAAAATGCCTCATTCATTAAAATTATTTTGTAGTATATGTCTTACATATGTGAGATTGTCGAACTATCCATTGTCTAACAAGAATCAACATCATTAGTGGATTTTCATTATTAAAGAAGCATAAATTAGCTTAAAATTATTTGAAAAACAATCATTATGAAAAAGTTCAGAAAGGCCAGACTTTACTATTTCGAATCTTTCGATGCTGAGAAGTACGTTTCGTTTATAAAATAGACAAACATGCTTTAGCGAATTTAAAGCTTTCCACATTTAAATTTTTTACGAGAAATTTTTTTTAGAATCTTTAGGACAGAAAGTCGAATATTCCAAATTTTTTGAAGTAAAGTTTTACGATTAATAAATCTTGTTAATCATAAAAGTTAACAGTATGCATTGAAAAAATGGATGCTAAAATATGGAAAATGTTTGTGTTACTTCATCAACATATGTGTCTTGGGATAATTGACATGGTTTGTTATAGATCAACATTCTAGAAAAATCTGAAATTCTCATACTTATATGATATAAACTTAACTACGATTTCTGTCGTGAAAATTAATAGTATTTAGATAAATTTTTCTCAAACGAATTTGAATTTCAACTGAAAGAATAGCTAAAGCTATTTTCCTTTTGTTTTTATAATATAAAGCTTCCTAAATATCTTGCTGCTTTGATCTATTATTGTTCAAAACAATATGTTTGCTGAGATTGGAACGTAATGAAGAAGCTGATTTAATAAAATTCTTCATGCGGTTATTGGTAAAAATGAAAGTAATGGTATAGTAATGATATTTTTCCATTGAATACATTTATATGAAAGTACAAAAAAACAAAGAGTTGTATTTTCATAATTGCAAATGTTGCAATAACAAAGCTATAACTTCGAAATTCAATCTTTTTCCGAAGAAACCAGGAACGAAATTGAAGTCATCTGGGAAAAAAATTCTGAAATTTTGATAAGTAAATGATCGTAATGCCGATAGATAATCTAATCATTCTTTGTACTTTGTCGTATTACTTTTTCGTTCTAATACATCACAATAAAAATTCATTTACTTTTTTCTCTGCAAACATAAAGTTTTTTGCAAAACTTGCATTTCGAGAAATTTCATGACTAAAACCAATTTTTCTAACCAGTCTGCTCTCTTTCTTTGATCAATGATATATGATTGGGAAGTGGCGACAAATTTCGGCTTTTAAAAAGAGCTTTTTATTCATTGGAAAAGGATATCACGAGAAAATCATCTTTCAAACTGTAGTTTACTATGCCTATGTTGTGTGTCTCATAGAGTTGAAGTTTCGAATAAACGATTAAATTTCGAAAATTCATTTTTCATGTCTTGATCTCCGAGAATCCAACTGTAAAAATTATAGATTATCTAATTTTGTACAGTTTCAGAAATTTTCAGGAAGAAATGGAAAGAAGAGAAGGATTTGGGATTTCAAGGAATTCAAGTCAAAAAAAATTTTAAAAACAGTAATTTTGAATTATTTTACCAAGAGGAAGACATTCCTTCTATCTCTTCAAATCTTTTCTAAAATTTATGGACAACTTGCCCATTCTTTTCCATTTCCATTCTATATTTCAAAAAGGAAATTTTTTTAAACCCACTCACTATGTTTAAGCCATCAATAATCCAGCAAAGTTTTTACCGAATAACGAAATTTTTCTTTTTAAAAGACCCATTTCTAAATAAAATTATTATTAGAAAAAAATCATTGCCAAAAAAATTTTTTTTGGTCATTATTAAAGGGCTTAAATTGATTCAAATGACATGGGAATATTTTTTCATTTTACACTCAACAATTTAAAAAATAATTAAAAAAATGTGTGTGAAATTATTAAAACTGAAGCCGCAACAAAATTAAAAATCTCTGCCGGGCATTTTTAAGAATTGATTTGTCAAGATTAAATATGCAAACCCAATATGGATTTTCATTTTTCAATTTTTCTAATTATTTAAGCAAACAAGATTTTGTTTAATTCAAACTTTAGTGAGCAAGCAATTTCAATCTTTTCCATTTCCATCGTATATTTCAAAAAAGAAATTTCAACTAGGAGTAGCAAATTATTTCGCCACTCCTAATTGAAAATCTGAGCCTGAAGTAGTTTTTACACTTGAATAATTTGCTAATCTTTATATTTGCAATGATAATTTTTATTCGATTCTAATAAAGTGATAAATAATTTGCGCATATTTCAATTATCATTATAAGAATTTTCGTCAAATATTAATTTAGTTGTAATTCCTAGATTTATGTTTTAACTCTGTTTTAATTATATTTTAATTCTAATACCAATTTTGTACACAAAAATGTTTATATGTAGAATCCAATCATTAAGTATTTAGTTAATGCTAGTAATGGATTAATTCACTCGTTGCATGTATGAGCGAACATAATCAAATAAGCAATTAGAAAATGATTATTTTTGTGCTTATATCAAGTAAAGCTCTATTTTCGGTAAAATTTAATCACAATTAAAGAAATGATAAAATATTGTCAATTCCATTGAATGACATCCTATGATATATTTTGTGACAAATAAATAATATGTGAACTTGAATTTGCTGGATAACAAGATGGCTTAGTTATTGATAAAATAATTTGTTTTACCAGAAAATCATTCTCTTCCCTTTTCTCTTTCTCAAAAATCCAAATAACGAAGGATATTATTAAGCAAAATAGCAGCACCTTTGTTTCATTCATTTCATTTTCGTTTGCAAACTCGAATATATTCTTATAATCTTAAAAATTTTAATGAAAAGTTTTTGCAAAAAAATGACAATTTTTGTTCTATTTTTTTTAACAACCTCTATTAGAAAATGTACTTTTTCTTTACATTGAAATCTTTTGACCATTTCAATTTTAATTCTTTCCTTCCTCTTTCTCTCTCCGAATTAAATATTACAAGAAATAATGGAAAAATTCAGAGTTAACAAATTGAATTAATTTCATTAGCTTCTTTTCTTTTTTCAATACTTTGCTTGCTAATTTTATTTTATTTTTTTTGAAGCTTAATTCATTTAACTCCTGCTGTTGTATTGAGCTTTTCATTGCTATTAATTATGCAGTTTAATTTATTTATGCAGCTTAATTCATTTAACTCCTGCATTTCCATTTATTTTTCTGTCCTATTACTTTTTATTACTTTCTTAGATACAGTAGCTTTTGAAATATGTCTTGAAATTAGAAAAGCTAGATTTCGGAAAGATATTGTATACAAACTGTCATCCATCTACTATTCCTCTTTTCATGATTATCACTATAGCTTTTCACTGCTAATTAATTATGCAGTTTAATTTATTTATGCAGCTCAATTCATTTAACTCCTGCTGTTGTATTGATCATCATTTAATTTTGCAAATACTTTTAAATAGCAAATAAAAATGCATGACAATTGTTTAATTTATGCTACAATTTTATCAGCCAATTTAGCAAATATTATCATATGAAATAATATTTAAAGAATCATATTAGTTAATGAGGCTTTTCATCAACAGAAAAATTATTTTATTTCTCAGAGAAATATAACAATATAAATTGTCGGATCTCAGATTCGTCTGAATCAATAGCTTAATCAATGAAATAAATGGCGTTAAAAAAGTTTTTTTTAAACCATTTTTATTAAACAAATAGCGTTAAAAAAAAGTTTTTAAAATTTTTTTTTTATAAACATTTTTTTAAACCATATCATTTGGATTCCGTGCGTGTTGACGTTTGATAAGTACTCATATTATCCCAAAACTTAACAAATTCAAGAAAAAAATTACAGAATTTCAATATTAGATAGGAGAATGGAATGCTTCCAATGAAATTCACTCTTTGATAACGCAAGCTGTTATGAACATTGAAGTGTTTCGCGCATTAATCGGAATATTTATCGCCGTCGTATCCATTTTCTGCATATTAATATATATTATCATTCAAAAGGTATCACTTGAAAAGATTAAATGATAAAATTTATCACGTATACATCAGGAGAAAAAATTTATCATTTACAATTATCAGTAGTTAATTTAGTTTACTACTGTTTGATCTACCGTTAACTGCTTTCAAATTAGTTTTCAATCAGAAATTTTAATTCTGTATTTATTGAACTAGCTACAAATGATATTTACGCTGTATCCGTTGAATAAGTTTTGCAAAAACAAACTTTTCGATATTAAAATATTTGAATAAAACAGTGGACTGTTTCAAGAATAACTGGCAAAGATTATTTGCATCCTCAATTCACCACTATAAATTTGTAATGTAATCAGAAGTTAGGGAACGAATATACTTTTTGTGCTTGCAGATAATCATATCAGATCGTACCCTCATTAAATGTTCCACCTACAAAATCGTTGTTTGTTATGGTTTTGTTGATATTATTCAACTTTCTGTTTATATCTGCAATGGTATTTTTGCACTAATTGGTACTACAATAGACAAATGGATCGAAAAAGTTAGCATAAACTTTTGGATGTTACAAATTTTCCTTAGAAACGATGCTTCCTTTAATTTAAAATTTAATTCAGCCCAAAATTTGAATTGATAACTTTTCTGTTCAGTGGCTGAAATAGGCAATTATTATCGTACTGCCACTACGAATCACTGATAATTAAAATATTAAAATAAAAATTTCCTAAATCCTTTTGTGATCTTGGAAATTAACTTGTATGTATTTTTCAGTTTTCCGGTTTCCAGCTCAGTTTTTGTTGGTACAACATTAATTTGTTGACAGTTTTATTGGCCATGAATCGATTAGCATTATTATATTTTGGTGCACGGGCCGAATTTTTTTTCAATCCAAGAATGACTTCGGTTTGTCAATTAACTTTTTTTCAAGTTTTTTAAAATTATTAAACATTTAAACTGACATGTGGAGATGAAACTTTGCAAAATCTATTAATAATAGTATATAAATAAGTAGAAGAAGATGTAGAAGTTTTTTGTCACAGTACTTCTTAATTTGCATTCATGAAATAAATACTGTGATGATCACATTAACTACAATAGGATAACAATAACGGTATTATTTTGCTTTCTAGGTTTTATTATTTTTTACAATTTCTATTCCATCAGTATTTTCGTTGATTTGGTTGACACCTTACGCCACCTATGGATTCGATGCGAAGATGTTGATGTGGACATATGATAGTTTCGATTTCATGCCTTCCTGCGATCGCATAATCACTTTGCTGACTAGCACATTCTCTACTATCTGCTATGTTTTATTATTAATACTTGTTTTAAAGAAAGTTAGTCATTTTGTTTTCATAATAGAATATTATTGCTGTGAATTAAAAAAAACAATTCATTTTATAATGCAAATGGTAAGTAGCAAATCATGAATTTTTTATGAAAAAAATATGTTCTGAAAAATAGTGTAATATATATTCGATTTTTTGTAGTATTTACGTACTAACATAAAATGACATAACTTTGAGTTTTTTTAGATAATTCTATTTTTTAATTTATTTGAAAATTCAAATAGCATACTCAAACTGTGGAACGTGCGACGGAATGTGCTTTTCGTTTAAAATGTTTATTTAGCAATAGATAGACTGAAAAATCTATATTAACCTTAATGTCAGTAATACGGATTACAATAAAATTGCAAAAAATGATTTCAGAGTTCTTCACCAGGCAATAAAGTGCATGGTGGTACCAGACGTCGAGATACACTGCTAACAGTGCAAGTGATGATTAATGGCGGCTATACTGTTCTTGTGTCCATCTATTTCATGTTTTTAAGGCCTTACTACGTGCCCTATACTATAATATATAATGCAGTTGATATTCTTTTATGTGTATTTTGGAATGGGAAAAGTCCTATCATGCATTTAGTCTTCAATCGGTGAGCTCTATAATATTTTTTTTGACCTTTAGGTCGAAAAGTATGTTAACCAGCAAATTCGAAATTGAAAAATATCAAAATAACAGAAAAATAGAAATTTCAAAAGAAGGGCTATAAAATTGATGTTTGATGAGTTAGATGCTTATCTTTTCTAGTTTGATCAGTTTTGACTTTTTTCAAAAAACGATAAATTAACTAAAAATTAAAAAACTAAAAATCTGGATTAAACTAAAAACTCAATATAGCGTATCATTTCAGATATATACGTATAAAATTTCTTGATGATATTCAGAACCGGAAAATCTTCTCTCTGGCCCTAAATATATTATTACGCCTACAGCAGAAAATGTTTTCATTAAAAGGTCAAACATCAATCGCTAGCTCTCCTCTAAATCAAACATTGAAGGGAGATTATACTGACATAAACCCACAATTGAAGCAAACCTTTGTGGTCTCTTCAAAAGCAATTACAAACGTGCGTCGGTACTGATCGGAAGGACGAGATATGGAAAGTATAAGGAGAATGTTTTAACAACTCGAAAAGACGTTGGAAACGTTTTTATATCTCTGATGTGATTTTGTTTATTGTTCTAAAATAAACTTATGTTGGAGATTTTGTAACATTCGTATGTACTGGACACGAAATTTATTTTTGCAATATATGATTAAAAAAGGAAGTTTATTTCAAATTTAAACTTTAAATTCAATATGTCCAAAATCTCACTCAGGATTTCTGAGTGAGATTTTGGACACATTGAATTTAAAGTTTAAATTTGAAATAAACTTAATATTACGAAGATCTTATTTGAAAAATCGTAAAATTCAGACAGGTTGATTACGTTTCTCGGTTTATAATTCAGAATAAAATTGTATGTATGTGATTATGAATGAAGAGATTCTGCTATCTAACAAGTAATTTTGAAATAATTGGACAGTCATTTACTCCTTAATTTTGCTAGCACTAAAACTAGTAAATGCTTAAGTAACAGTATTTTGTTACACAGGGAAAACTTGAACCGAAAATTAAAACGTCGAAAAATAATCGAAAAAAGTGAAATTGCAGATATAATTTATATGTAGAACATCTAGAACCGGTAAAATGTGATATCACCAAAATTGATGTGTTGCATTTTACATGAACATTTGAAACATTTTATATGGCAAAGAATCAAACTAAGGAAAAGTGGTATAGAAAGAATAATAAGATCAAATGAAATGAGTCGCAATGTCTTTTTATTTTCCTATGGATTTTTTGTGATATAAATTGAAATTAAATGCTATAGTAGAAAATTTATAAGTGCAATGCGCTTAATTAAATCTAACAGTAGAAGATTCATAAATAAGAAAGATAGCAATAAATGCGAAATTAACGTGCGATAAGCTGTTATGGGCTTACCAGAAACAAATATTAGTATTCAGATAATAATCATATTGTCATATTGATATTGTCCAGGATATCAAAAAAAAAAAAACATAAATTCAATGATACTGTCACTCATGCTTTTTCTAATTCATAATTTATCAAATATTTAAATAAATATTATAACAAATACAAGCAATGAATGCAAACATTTTAAGTTTTATTTGCAGTTTTAGACTCTAAAATATTGATATGATCGATTATCAATGAATCATATTTGAGAGCCAAAACGACAACAATGATGAAAGAAAGAAGGAAAGCAGTTATAATTCCTATTTTATTGTTATAATACAATTTTTCCTCATTTTTCTTTCGTTTTTTTTGAAAGCCAATCAAAACTACATTATAATATGCTTGTTGAATCTTACGGAAAAAGTCGTTCTTACCGAAGTGTGGATGTCCTCACGATCAGTTTCAAACTTTATGATAATATCATTTGTCAGGAAGTTTTTCAATCAAATCAATTATAGAAATTAAATGAACTCACAAGTGATACGATGAATAAAACGCTATTATTTAGTGTAAAGTGCAACAAATGTAGTATGCAATACAGCAAGTACAAATTGTCTAAAAACACTTCCGGCCAGAAATTTCGCAAAACAAACGCGTCGAGTTGAAATTCCATTTTTTTTTTTTTTTTTTGAAAAACTAACTGTAATGGAAAGTATAAATCGAGCTACAAGTTTATCATTGTTTCAATCTTTTCTAAGACAATAAAGAGACTGATAAGTGTTTCACTTTTCAGATACGGAGAAAGTTTTCATTTCAGTAAAATAGAGAAATGCGTGTAATTAAATTTGTTTTTAGTTAAGCGTTTCATTTCAATTCCTCATCTTACTAATAAATAATAAGCTTTAATTAGCTTGTGATCAAGACTGATTAGTTCCACTTCCTTTTAGTTTCAATATCGCAGACAAATAGTATAACCATGACAACATTATGATCAATTAATTGAATTATTTTGCAAAATTGAAAAGTCAACGATATCATGTTTATGATGTTATAACATTTCCATTTATGACTAATGAATGGAATTTTCTTTTCTTCCGTATCGAATGAAGAAGATGGAATTGAAATATAACAATTTATGTAAATGACCAATATGCTTATAGGACTTCTATCTATAAGCTGGAAAAGGAAAGACAAGGCTTTCTTTTAAAGAAATTTTAAATTATGAAAGGATGGAGTACCGGAAGATTTACAAATTCATGATATTATATATTCTAGTTGACCAATAAGTGTTGAAAATGATAAAACAACTGCTTCACAGTGTAAAAAATCCAATATGACTATTGATCGTTATTTTTTGAAATGAAATATTGAGAAGAAAGCAAAATAATAATATTAATTTATGCTAAACAATTTATCCATTAGTACTCCAGCATTTGTTAAAAATACATTTTCAAAACTTTCAAAATCGTTGATGGAAAGAAAATATGTACATAGCAATTGTGAATTGATTCTTGCAATGTAAAAAAAAAAATTTATAAGGAGGAAAAAATCAAATCATCGCATTTTGTAGCATGTTTTAAGTGGAAATACGTACTGGTTAATAGAATTGTTGAGCTTTTATAATTAATCTGATGTATTCATCAGTATCAACAATAACAGATAATTTGAAGTGACTGCCAAGGAGAGAATTAATAAAAGTTCTCTGAAATCATATAATGCATATATTATTACTGTCATGTTCATGCAGTGATTTTGCATTCCACCATGAATTTCATTGGTAAGTTATTGGAATTTGATTTTTTTGGAAGAGTAATAGTAATTTAGCTTTATGTTTCTCTGCGATTTATTAAATTAACTAAAGATTAGCAGTTTCCTTACTAGACATGTAATTAATGATAAAGAGGCAAGTATTATATGGTTAAGAGCAGGACGATCGCATTAAATAATGGGTCTTATTTCAGATATGGCTTTAGAATCTAATTTCACATAATGTGTAAATCATTTTGACATTGCACTGCATCATTAAATAATCATTAGACAATTAATGTCATTATTGACGTCAATGCAGTTACTTTAAATATGTAAATAATAGAGTGATAATAAGCAGCAACTAATGTTATCAGAATATAGCCAATTTTGAATAAATTTATCAATGTTACTGGAACAAATTATGAAAATTATGAATAGAAAAATTTATTTCTATCATCAAAGCAGAAAACATGAATGTGCATAATACATTGTGTTCTATACACCATTTTTCTTTTAAATGAAATTGTACCATACATGATACAGCTCCAGAATATTACCTGGAATTTTTAAAACTACATTTTAAATGTTGCTAACTTTTTTATTTTCCATGTCTGTTTTGGAATCTCAAAAATTGTTTTATTAGTTTTTTGAATGTTTTTAAAAAATGACCAGGAAGAGTGGTGTCTAAAAGACAGTGTACAATTTGTGTACATTTACAAAAAATAACTTGGCATTCAGCGATCTTTTACGAATTCTTCTTCCACCTTCAGTAGTTTCATCAGTAGTTACTGTCGGTGTTTCGGCGGGTTCTGCTTCTTCCATTATATCCTCCAAGATATGCTGCAAAAAATTCAGAAATTCTGTTTAGTCTGTTAAATTTCTAACGCTCAAAATCCTTTTTTTCATCTACAATAATGAACAATTAATGATTAACTTCTATTTTGATATATTCCATTCGTTTCACATTCGGTATACGATTTACGGCACATTCGGCAACTGGTGGTGGTCTAAGATCGCCTTTTTGCATATCATGAAGTCTCTTGCATATAATTTTGAAATTTGGTCTATTATCTGCATTTTTTATCCTAAAATGATTAAAAAACAATGATACGAAGTATGTGCAATCTTTAATAGAAATTATATGAGGAAGTTGGATAATCTTTTTAAATCAAAAAGATTATCTGACTTCCTCATATAATGAGGCATAGAATCAATCAAAGGAACTGATAACAAAAATGCGTAAGTATTTGAAGTAGTCATAAAGAGCAAAAAGAACAGAGTTTAATTTATTGAAGAATCTGAGAAATTTATTGGAATATCGAACCAAATCATTGAAATCAACAGTTTGATTTCTGGTGGTGTTATTGATGGCATTTGTGGCATTCGAATGCGCCGAATATTTGTAGCTATCTTTTTATTTTCATCATCTGGCCACGGTTTCATACCCAAGTTAAAAATCTTTAATAATATAGTAAGCATGAAATTTGAGTATTTTGTGCAATCTATGACTTGAATGTTAAAAGAACTTCTGTGAATACATTGCCAAATCAAAAAGAAAAAACATTATTTTATAAAATTTGTAAATTTTATTATCAAACCTCATACAAAAGAACTCCAAATGACCATACATCGCTCTTTTTCGAGAACTGAGGGTTTCTGACGAGCGTTTCTGGTGCCATCCACCTAAATACGAGATTGCAGTCAGCACATTGATTAATATTAAAATTTAAAAACAAGATTTTCATTTATAATGATTGAACAATTCAGTCAACTTGAACTAAGGCTATACTTAAGTGATAATGTAATAATAGATATTATTGTATGATTATCTGAACAAAGAATTTTTGATAAACTTAACCTCACTGGGATATCGGTCATTTCAATATCATTCTCTCCATCAAGTGTCTCTGCTTTACTAAGACCGAAATCTGAGATTTTTACTAGACCATCCATCGAAATAAGACAATTACGTGCAGCAAGATCACGATGGACACAACCTTGCATGTGTAAATATCGCATGCCAAGTGCTGCCTGCAAATTTATTTTTTCTAGAATTTAATGAAAACTTATCTTCTGAATTTTTCAAAATTTTCGAAAGTTTTTGATTTTCAATCAAATTAAAAATTTTTGATGTGCAAATACCCTATATTTACCTCATCTAAGAAAAATAAAGGAATTGATGCAACCTCTAAACAATATTCAATTCGTTCGCCAATGACAATATTTTCCTTTTGCTTTTTGAGATGATTTTCTAGGCTGCCACCTGGACAGTACTCCATTACAATGGCTATTGGTGGTCGATCGCATGCTACCCCATAGAACTGCAACACCCTTCAAATATTATTCCAAAGAACACTGCAGAATGTTTTGAAGCGTCATTTTAGTTGCCTCATACATACACACTAACCTGAACAATGTTTTCATGATTGTAAAAACTCATAATTTTGCCTTCTCTTATCATTGAATGTCTCGCTTCGCGTCCACCACTCTTTCCAGGTTTTATAATCTGTAAGCTAATTTGTCATTAACTAAAGATTGAAAAATGAAAACTAAAAATGAGAATTTTTAACTGAAAATAGATAATATATGATGATTTGACCTTGATTGCTACTGGAATAACTTGCTTATTACCATCTTTGTCGCAAGTGAATGTGCCAAGATAGACATCAGCAAAATTTCCTGAACCAAGCGGCGGCTGTAAATTGTTATTACTGAGAATACAATTTATTGTTTCATCTTCACTTATAAGTTAAGTTTAAAGGAAAAATGTTCAGTTTTGAAACTTTTGAAACTACAAAACAATGATTGATGATTTGATCAGATTTAAATAACAATGTAAACAAAAAGCGTTTCTGTCTTAATTAAAATGATTTAAATGATGCATACTTTATCTTTGTCGTAATTAATCGCTTCATGTTTAACAAGCCATTTAGGCCTAGGTACACCATCTCCCAGACGAATATCTTTACTGCTTGCATCTTTTATCTTAATTTTATGTATCTAAAAGCAAATTTCGCTCATAAATTAAGTTAAAATCTCCAGAAATTAGTGCTCAAGTGTTCATTTCTAGTATAACCTTGTAATATTGCACTAAGTCGTAAATTGAAGCAAATTTTCTTCCCTTTCGGAGCGCTGATAACTGAAAACGACCATCCTCCGTCCTACAAGGTATTCCGATTAACAAATTTGAATGATTTATTGTTGACGAGAAGGCTCCTACAAAGCATAAATAATCAATGTAGAATCCCATCGGGATATTTGGAAATTCCCAAATAAGACCTGAGCATGAGATTATGGAAAAGATAGACAACAACTAACACAGCAATAGTTAAATGAATATTTCTTTCACCGACATGTGTACTAAGAACAATTTGGTGCACTCCTTGGTTGTCTGTCACACGCACCAAAAAGTCGCCATGTTTGACCAGCAACTTTCTCAAATTGCATTGAATTCATAAAACAAAAGAATATTGTATTATACTCTTAATTGACCAAAGTCCATCATCTGATTAGATTATTAATGATTTGAACAATTTGATCTTACATTTCCGTTGCTGAATGCAGTATACCTTTAGCTGAATATAGATTACAAGCATCCTAAAGTTCGATTATACTAACCGATAAGACGATTGATTCTAATCTGTTCAAAATCTCTATCAATCTCTACCAATGTAGTATCATACCACATTTCTCCAATTTCTCATTGAATAGCGACATACATGTTCAAAATAGGATGAGGTGTATATTTTCATAAATTTAAGAAGCCTAACTCAATGTCCTCTCTCGATAGTAAACCATGATACCAGTGTTGATCTTCCAATTCTTTTCGCCGTTGTTTTCTCGATTCTTTGGCGATACCTCCTTTCTTATCTAAGATTTGCACATCTGAATAATTTGCTATACACTGATAAAATTCATCTTTAAGCGTATTAAAGAGAAATAAATATACAGCCGTAATTGGAGTAGAAAAGAAGGCCTCCCGTTGAAATTGATTGGATCCGTACAAATGAATCAGTGAGAGCGCAAACCTGACATTATACGGTTACTTACTGCAAACAAAAACAGTGATTAAAGCCCGCCCTTGCTAACTCTTCAAATAAAAATGAATTTACTATAGCTTGTTATGATATTTATAGATTCCCAAAATTTTTGTGCGATTATTTAAAATTTTAGTTATAATTCAAACAGCTGATCTGATAATCCACAGGACCTTACATGAAGCTTTGATTTTAATAATAAGAATATGTTCCCATGATCCGGAAGTCGGTTGACATTCAAGAGGAGTAATGTGGAATATAAGAATTCAACTGTAGGTCAACTTATTGATTTTTGATCAGCAAAAATTTTCAGAAGGCTAGATGCCACAAAAAATTTAATACTAGAAAATTTAATGCAATTTATAATGAACTTGAAGATGATACACATTTGTAAACAACAACACTGCCCTGCAATGTAGTTAATCATGTCAGCATTCTTAAGTTGATAAGATTTATAAACAATCATTTACTAGGCATAAATAATTGAAACAAACATCTGAAACAACTTATCCGTACAACACTGCAACAAAAATACCGATCATATAGTTATCACTTCGATCGGAAGTTGTTATGGCATTGCCTTACTTAAAATTCACAAACCTTGCATCTACAACATCAAAAACCGTCATAAAACAATTAGAAGGATCAGAAATGCGTGATTCAATCCTATGTGGCAAACATATCTTATAGATATCGATAAACGTTAAGTAAACTTCAAAGAACTTGAAATTCAGTCATGTCTTCGATGTTTACTTCCATGTTTATGCTCTCGTTTCTTTATGGCGGCTTTACTTTCGCGATCACCATGACCAGATTCCTCCTTTGTATCCTTTCCTTGATTTTCCAAATCGTTAGAATCTCTTCTTCGTCTCTTTCCATTCTCATCACATTTTCGTTCCTCCATTTCATTCTCTCTCAGTCCAGTTCTATCATGCTTTCTTTTTTCATTCCGTCGTTCCTCGTTGTCTTCCCTTCGCACGGTAAATTTTTTGTGCTTCTTTTCATTTGGTTCATCCCTCTCGTATTTTCTTCCCGTTTTTCTATCACTTTCCTTCTGTATTTTCATTTTTTCTCCACCAGTCCAACGTCTTTTATCCACCAATTCGATATTGTGAGATCTATTTTCCCAATCACTTTGATTCTTGTCACCAGCATTCTTCGAGGAATGACTTTTCTGGACAATTTTTGATATTTTTTCCATATGTTCCTTTTTTCGTAAAGATTTTACGTTATGTTTCGATTTTTCACTATCATCACTGTCGTCGGTATCTAATGAAGCTGAAAAATCTAGTGCAATAAATTATCCTTCTTTGAAAATCAGTAAGAACCCACCGTAAGAGTATATGTCAAGTTTTTCCGCTAACCGAAAAACAAATTCTGTTAACTAACATGTGCTCGAGGTTGAGTCGCTACTGCTTGCATCCGAATCTGAGTCACTCGATGAACTTTTTGAAGATGATTCTTGTCTAGCTTTGGCTTTCTTTCGAGCTTGGTCCAAATGTAGTCTCAAATCGACTCTGAAAACAAAGTAACAAAGTAAAAAGGAAAAAAAAACGCTTATTCTTTTGGAAAATAACTATTATTCACTCACCAGCCATTAAGAGGTTCGTGAAATATGCCAACCATTAAAATCATTTCGTTCATGAAAAAGAAAAGCTATCATGACAAAATTTTCAGCTAAAAAAACTAAGCACCATAACGTGAGTGAGTCATCACTTTATCTCCTCTGGCGTAAAAAAAATAAGAGCAAATAGCTTGAAGATGAGCCTTAAAATAGAAAAATTTTTTTAAATCAAAAACAAAGTTCACTTACGTGAGATATCCAAGACCTATCGTAGTAAAGAAATTGATCGAAAAGCGTGTATTATTCGGATTATCACGAGGGAATATTTTGTCAAAGGAAGACTGCATTGTCCTAAAATATTTATGTATTAAATAAAATACATAAAAATTCACTACAATAACAGACGGCTTGTAAAAAGGCAAACATAGTTTTAAAAATATGGAAAAGGGAAATATAGTTTTTTTTTTAATATTATTAAAATAAATATTTTGGAAGATTTAAACATAGAAAAATCAGGATGCAAGAAACAACGTACGGATCGCGAATTCTCTGCAATAGATTTTCCACGCCTAAAAATTCAGCAAGTTCTTGGAAAACTATTTTAATGTATATTCGTCCAGAAGAAGTTGTGTCCTCTTCATTCAACGATATTTGATCCAAGACCTAGAAATAAAAAAACTTTGGTGAGCAACAAATCTGGAACATAGTTCATTAATATTAAAGTAAAACAGATTGCTTTCTCTTTTGTTCGAGAAAAAAAGGAAAACAGCATTTTCTTTCTCACTCTTATGAAATAATATAATCAGTTGCACAAAAACTTGCATCCCATGAAATGGCATCGGTTGAAAGAAGATGAGCCACTAAGCAAGCCATATTGCGCAATTTGTTGTATTCAAATCGATGTATCGTGTTGTAAGTATCACGAGCAATTCGCTCGAATGCTTCTTGAAATTCCTTACGAAGTCGACAAAATCGTTCTGCTAGCAAACCATAAAATTTTTCATAAGTTCTTTGTTGAGCACAACAATCCACGATCATATTGCAAAGTTCCACCTAAGTATAAAACATAACATTTTCGTTATGAATTGTTATCATGACCAAGAAGACGGTAGAGACATAAAAACTAACATCTTGATTACTTTTCAAATCAATTTTAAGTAATTTATGAGCTGCTTCCTGAAAGTCGAGCGAAGATTGAATTGTTAGATAAATGTTGCGTCGAAATGCTATTAAGTTCTGCTCTGTGTTATCGATAATCACCGTACTTTGTTTTTCTCCTAAATCAACATTAATTTTAAATTAAGGAGGATTTGTTTGAAAAAAAACTAAATATTGCAAATTATTGATATAGTGAAGCAAGTACAAAAAAACAATTTTTGAAACCTTGCTGAGCTTCTGCTGTTTCTTCATCCGGTATCTCTTCGTTTTCTTCTTCTTCATCTGAATCCTCCTCTGCGAAACCAATTGCATCACGTCGAATTTCTTCGTATTCTGCTTCATGTTTTTCAAATTCAGGGTCATATTTAAATACGTCTGAAACAGAAAATGAATCGAACTACATGAATGATAAAGTAAATTTAAACTAACTGAATTCAAAATATGAAACACTAAAAGCAATGATAGCACTACCTAAATGTCAGTATTAATAATTAGAGCTTACTTAATTCATTTTCTGGCATAAGTGGATCCTCCAATGTAATAGTATGTGTTATTTGATCATCTTCTTCTATTAAGTCTAATTCATCGACTATTGCTGGATATGCCTAAAATAAAAATAAAAAATAAAGAAT